AATAAATATATATTTCAGCTTACTAAAAATATTTTCATAATGTTACTTTGACATCATTTCTTAAAACTAAGTCCCAAACATAATTGCTCAGTTGATATGTGTCATCCTCATGCGATACGAGATAACTATAATTCTGATGCAATCCCGAAAAGGGGGGTCATCACAAACAAACATGACATTAAATTGTCATTATACGAACTAGAACAAACAGCTCTATGTTGCTTTGATATTTATCAATTTTCAGGAAACATGTGAAATAAATTTCAGGTCCATTTCATTATAGTGCCTAACAAGATTGTGTGAGGTAGACGAAATTGACCTTAAAACGATCGTATTGTCTTTTGATGTCCAAAAATAGGCAGATCGGACATATAAGGACTTTATCTAATGACTACATAAATTTGGGATTTATTATTATTATAATATTCCAATGAAACTGAAAATTGTATTTTTTTGTTAGGATAAACAACAATTTTACCTGGCGTAGCCGTGCATAAAATGTTTTTCTGCGAAAAATGGCGTATTTAATGGAATAGAACGTTAATACAGTAAACTTTCTCTTTTTTCTCTGCAATAGGCTATCAAAAATAATTTATCTAATGTGTATGTGGAAAATTATGTGAAAAGATAAAAAGTGGCAATTGTTACCTTTCATACCTTAAGTTTCATTCATATGCCGCTATTATTGTTGTTGTTACCAATTATGTAAATCAATTGTATCTGATTTTATGCCCTTTATGGGCCCTGTAATTTGGAAAATACAAAAAAAAAATCTATTCATTGATAAAACGTAATATGGACTGGTCCAGTGTCCAGTTTGCAGGTCATTTAATTTACTGTACACATTCATGCACGCTCTGATTTAATCGATATACTCGTACGAAAAAGCATGAACAGTTTGAAGGTAATCTAATAATAACTTAATCCAATCAAATTGCATAAGATTCAATAACAACGTCCAATCCACATCATAATGAGTAATAGGGGTAAACTTGGTAGGGAGAAAATGACAGATATTTCAAGTTAATATTTATGCAATAACGAATTAAAATTTGTCAACCAAAAGTTTTGCTACAATTTCAAAAACATGTCGTTCTGTATGGGTATATTTTTCGGATCTTTCATTAGCGTATTTAAGGCTATATAAAGTTTGGGCTTCAAAAGTTCACACAATTATTGACTTTATACAGAAAATTCGTCCTTGTAAAACATTTAATAGTTCACAAATGATACGCGATTTTAAAGTAAAATTATTTCTTAAAACACTGCAAAAAGTTTCATTCATATTGATAAAGTGGTATCGTCATAAAGTGCTTTGAAATGAACAGTGGTATAGCAAACATCGAATTTCCTCACAAAATGTTATCACACACTATAGTAAGGGGAGTCAGCTAAGTTTGTTTATTTTTAGATTACAGGTAATCATTGGACATTACGTATACAACCTGTGTGACCTGTGTAGTGATTTTGATTTTACGATAAATTCATGAATGAATGAACGATAATTTTATGAATGAACATGAGCACCTGACCTCTTTCTTAAACACCAATTAAACATATAAAACCGTATTTAAAAGGAGATAATTCAGTCAAATTTTCAGTACTAAATCAACAACTGAAATGATTCCATTTTTTGATGAAACATCGTACGAACGGAAAACGGAATCGCAGGTATAAAAATGCACTTTTTTCCCTTGTAATGACCGCGGATCTATAATTTTTATAGATCGGTTGAAATCCCAAAAGTAATTTGCATAATGGAAATTTAGGCGATAGCAATACATCGGAATGACCTGAAGGTCATCCTCTGTAAAAAGCATGTGTTAATTTTCTGACATTTTACCGTTTTATTAAGCCAATGAAGTACTGGTTTTAACAAAATCTTCATTTAATAAACTCAGTGTATAACAAGGTATTGATTTGGCTTGGTCACATTGTGAGAATTTTCAAAAATAAAAATTGTTATCTTATTTCTTTATTTTTCTTATTTTTTTGTTCCTTTGATTTCACTGAGACCCGGTAAATTTAAAGGGAACGAAGTTAAAATATTGGATGCAAAAACATTTAATTTTGCACAGAAACAATTTTATGAGAGAAATACACTGCCATGTACTGATGTCTACAGCATACCTACTGAAACTTTTTAGTGGTTCTCGGATAAGTTCCTCTGTTTCAATAAGATTAAATCTCTCCGGTCGCAACCGGTAACTTTAACAAAGGTTCCTCACATATTCCTTTTGAGGATATAACCTACCATTTCCCATGTCCAGGAGCCAACATGGGAAGTGAAAATCTAAGCGCCTATGCCTATATCTACAACCTAACGCAATGAGAAACAAACTTTTCGCTGACTCTCGATAAATTTCTCTTCGTTTCAATTACAAATACTCGTTCCGGTCGAAACAGGTCACCGTAACGAAAGTACCTCACATATTCCTCTATTTTCTATGATATTACCTACCAATTATCAAGGCCAGCGCCATACAGGTGAAGCGAAAATATTTGTTTAAAGCAAGGTGGGGTTCAATAGAAATTGCATTTTTGAATTTCTTTAAACCCTCATAACTTTGTCATTTGTTAGTCGATTTTCACAGTAGTTATACGATATACTTTCGAATTTTGCGTCAAATGATATTGCACAATGAAAACACATTTAAACTGATTAGTATAGATAACAAGTAATAGCTTTTATAATAAGCTAGCCGTCTTTAGCTGATGAAAGTGGAAAATGTTTTCGCTTTGTAGGTTAATTCATTCAGAATAGCCTTCACGCCCTTGTATATTAATTGTAGTGGATTACAAAACTTATGAATGGCTTATACAATTTTTTAGATTTACCAATATCTGTTTTGGGGGAATGTAATAATACTTCAAACGGAGGGGTAATGTGTTAATCATCTGCGTTTGTAGCAAACTTTTGAAAATATTTTTTATTTTCAGTTTTTTCTGATAGCTGGACTTGGGTTTTTTACAGTTAAACATTTACAGACAGTCTGGTTTTAAACTTTTTTGACATTTTTAAACCTTCATGAATTGTTATGAAATTTGGACATAAGCTAATCTTCAAGACCAGGAAATAGCATCTAAAGAAAAAGTCTTTTTTTTTTAATTCTTTGTACTCATAAATAGACTCAACATTACACCTTTACGCCGATAGCAGCAATCGCAGGCGAGACACAGGGTTCCGCAGAACCCCTTATGAATGTTTTGCTATCATAAGATATTTTTGTACATGTATTCGTAACTTTGCTATATATTATAGCTAGACTTGGGAGGATAAAGAACTTAAAATATTGTAATGACATGTCCATTGTAAAAGACCGTATGTTAAACCTTTAGAAGTAAATTGTTTTGTTTGCTGTTTAATTGGGTTGCTTCCTAAATACATTATGTATACTTCAAATCTCCCTTTAAATCATGCATAAATATCAAATATTGCTTGTAATATGCTAGCATACATGTATAATTGCTTTTATCGTCTAAGAGTAGTTTTGTTTTATTCCATGCTTCTTATATTCCCCTTTGGATTTTTGTTTAGTAAACGTCTGATATCTTGATAGGAAGAGCTAGGGAGAGATAGACAACATCCAACCCAACCCACACCCGGATCCCCTAAAGATCTTGGGGTATGTGGAAAAAAGGGGCGGCACTTATTATAATGATTGGAAGGCATGAGCCGCTGGTCGACAAATTTAGGTGAAATATATAACAAGGTTGATGATTGTCAATCTGAAACTAATCAGATGTCGATATTATTTTACAGATGCAATTAAAATTACTGTCGTAAATGCTTAAGACACTTGCAAAAACTATTCATCTCCCGTTGAAATAACGTAACAATGATAGCTATATTTTTTTTTGTAGGTATAATTATTGTAAAAAATATGATAGCTAGGGTATGTTCTTTTGTTATTCAAGATATGATGAAAAGGGTGGGGTATTGGATGTCTCAGCTAGTCACCCCTACCAAAAAAAGGTCGAAGTGCCGCCGCCCCCTGAGATGAGATAAAGATTCCATTGTAAACTAATATTAATTGAAAATAAATGATTTGGATATATCCGTTTTCAATGTTTTTTCTGCCTTTTGATTATCTTACTAAGAATTAATATCTATAATCTAAGAAAAAAGCATGCGCGGTGTTTTCCTATGTTTTCATGTATAAAATTTACGCACGACTGGATTGAATGCGAAATAATCACGTGTGTTTACAAAATTTTAGGAGTTTCGGCTATTTATAGGTAAGTGTTACCTGTGTACCGATTGGTAACCAGGCAAAATCTAATTGCTAAAATAAAGAGTCCAAATCCGACAGTCTACGGGATTAACAGACATTTACTAGGTTATCATTGTCCCAACCAATCAACGAACTTCACTATTATAGAGTCAGTAATTATCTTACAATCAGATAGTAAGAAGCATTCATCCTGCAGACTGTGCATCGTTCGAGGAGACGGTAATTACACCTGCATTTTAATGACCCAGTCAACGATTAGAATCACGTGACATTAGCAATTCTCCTGATCACATGGAGTGGACCATGGACTGTGTTCGGATTGCTATCCTGGGATGCTATTTTTTTAATCACTCTCCTTCTCACATAACTTCCTTGTGTATACAAAAGAAATAACTTACACTAAAAATCATGAATAAATTATATTTTAACAATTGGAAATCAAATCTATGGAAGCTGCTGATCACATGCATGCACATGTATGGCTCAAACAGTAAGGTACATTTAATAGAACGCAATAGTAAGAGAGTGGTTGAAAGTTATAATATATAGCACAAAAATGAGTTAGAAATATTAATAAACACCATTATACCGTATGAAAAATGCTTGCAGTCACTGTTTGCAAGATCACAGCACGTACTGGTGTGAATTCATGTCGTCCACCTACTCATTGTATATTTTGTTAATATTACAGTTATCTGTTTTAGGTCAAATATTTATATACAAATCGCGGTTTATTCTGGCTATTCCTACATTTAGTAAAATTTTATGTTGGAAATCCCAGAATTTTTACGTAAACAATGGGATTATGTAGGATCATGTTGTAACAACACTAAACTAATGAACCAAGGTAAATCCAGGTAAATCTTGTGGAAAATAAAGACAAAGAATAGTTTCTATTACAATATTTTATTGATAATTTCATAGCACATTTTGTGTAAATAATATTCAAAAGCACAATGGCACAGGTTATTCACAAGCAATTTAAATTATTTAGGTGAAAATATTAATATATACAAGTAAATAATATCAATTGAAATATAAATATATTAAAAATGTAGTAATTATTATTTGAAAAAAGCACCAAATTTTGAGTTACACTATATATTCATTGAAACAAAGCACCGAAAAGTATACTAAATTGACATTGAAACAGAGCACTAACACAGTAATACATTGTACTAAATTGAACACACAAGAGAATACAAAGTCTTAATCAATGTGCAGGAGATGAGAAGCAGCATCTCCATACTGGACTGGCGTAAGTTCATCATTCTGTAACCTTGTTTTCAGTATTTGAATATAAAAATAAGAAGATGGGATATGATTGCAAATGAGACAGCTCTCCACAAGAGACCAAATGACACAGAAATTAACAACTATAGGTCGACGTACGGCCGTTAACAATGAGCAAAGCCAACACCGCATAGTCAGCTATAAAAGGCCCCGAAATGACAAATGTAAAACAATTCAAACGAGAAAACTAACGGCCTAATTTATGTACAAAATAACGAACAAAAAATAAATATGTTACACAGCAACAAACGACAACCACTGAATTACAGTCTCCTGACTTGGGACAGGCACATACAGAATGCGGCGGGGTTAAACTCGTTTGAAGGCGCCAACCCTCCCCTAACCTGGGACAGTGGAGTAACAGTACAAACTATAAAAAATCAGTGGAAAAAGGCTTCATCAGAGGGATACAAATAGAAATACATCTAACAAAAACACAGAGTGGACGTGGACGGGTACTTATACATCCCCACAACAAAATGACGCTAAGTTCAGATCTGAATGTACTCGCAGTTACTGACAGCTAGTTCAAAGCCAATAACTAATAAAAAAAAATCATGCATCTAAGACTAAAATATCAATCAGTACACATCCAACATCCAATGGATTTAGAGCAAAGACGTCATCTATTTCTCTGTATTTGCTCTTTCTTGGAACACGTTTTCCACCGGCTCTGTATTGGATAAGTGTTAGAGCATGGAAGGCTTTTGATGTTTGGGTGAGGTGCATTGACTAACTTCTTCATATTACTATGCCAACCTTCTAAATGATTTGTTATTCTAGGACCTTCTGTTTTTGTTTAAAAAATCATAATTTATTCAAATAATGAAATTAATTAAATCTTTGAAGCCAAAGTTGAAAGTGTAGGTTACTATTAAATGCTTTAACTACCTTTTCTTTTGAATAATTTTATTTTCAAGAAATGCCATATTAGAAACAATTAATTATAACACTTGATACATGTTTTCATACAAAAAAAGGAGAACAATTTTTGTACATAAATTTCATATAAATAATTATTTTTATCTAATTTCCATAGGTAAAGTTACCTGTGACCTAATTAGACACTAATGACTAAAACAACATATTTTTGCAATAACAACATCTATTGTTCTTCCCATAAGCTCCCATGTAGGAATAGCCAGAATAGTAAAATACAAAATGTAGGAATAGCCAGAAGAACCCAAATCGCATGTTTTAAATTACTCTTATTGATTAAGAAAACACTCTGTTTAATCTTCAGGGTTTATTTTTTTAAGAAAATACTCTGTTTAATCTTCAGGGTTTATTTTTTTAAGAAAACATTCTGTTTAATCTTCAGGGTTTATTTTTTTCAATATAATATAAAACATGTATATAAAAAATTATTAGATTTTTTAAAAATTAAACAAGAAGTAATACATTTTGGACAATATAAGTTTTTGAATGTATCTAGCAAATTAAAATTCACACTGAATATATTAAAAATTGGTATGTTAGCCCAGGGAGGTTGCATGAGACCTCCTTGGTTAGCCAAAATAATGCTTCTGATTGAAAATTGTTCAATTATTTGAAATTTAAACAAAATTTTGGTTATGAAAATTATATCTCTTTGGTTAAGAACTTTGATTTTAGAAGAGCTATTTGAAAACTACTTATATCTGCTCATAAGTTTCAAATTTGGCCGTTTTTTTAAATATTCCACGAAATGAAAAAATTTGCAAAAAATGCTCCTCTGGCTGTGTTGAAGATGAAATCCATTTTTTAACTTCATGTGAAAAATTTAACTCTGAATGACTTTGTTTGCCAAACAATTACATGTTTTTTCTATACTGGACCTTAATGCTGTTGGAACATTTATTAAAATCATTTTTCATGTAACTATATTATATACTATAAACCAAGGGCTTTATTACAGGCTAATTGTATTGTGATTCTAAGTATCTCTGCTAATCAATTTTCTGTTTTACTTATACCTGTTTGCTCTATATGCATAATATAATTAATTGGTAATAAAATATGTTCTTTTTCTTCTTGTTCTTTTTCTTGTATCTCTTCACAAACTAATAGCTTGTAATGAAAATGATATATTTTGCCAAATTGAATTCTAGTTAAAACAAATCATAGCTAGATCTATTTAAAAAATGCATTCCGACGTACAATATGTACACACCATAAGTTCTTCTTGGGTTATTGGTCACAGAGATATGTGTGTATTCAATTTTAAGGTGGTTTTTAAATATGAATAATTTTCCAAATGATATTAAATACTTCATGCTAATTATTACTATTAGATATCACGACATAAAACTATTCGTATTTATATGATCTATCACCGTGTCTTCTTTGAGCCGACAATACGTTTATAATTTATCAAAATAAAGCTGATCAAAACATTGTCTCACTTGATTAGGCTATTAAACAACTTCTATTGATGTTAAAAATGAAATACGACTTTATTTTAATTAAGCGTTTTCTTCCCACCTCTTGTTTTTGTGTTCGAGTTGTATAGACATGATAACTATTAATAAAGCAATAAAAGTTGTCATCTCTGACACCCTGTCATCGTAAACACCTTGTTTGTCGTTCCATACCTTTGATAGTTATGGTCAGTAGAACGTACGACCGTTCTGATACAATACACACTTTTCATTTCTCCGTATTTATTTCGATTGTTTGGAATTAAAAATCTTTAAAATGAGATCCGGTAAATTGATATTTCTTTGTGTTCTAATTTTTTCGAAATTATTTGGAGTGCTAGGCCAAAGGTTAGGATTTGGAGCACAACCGCCTTCGCCATTTGGTGGAGGAAACATTTTCGTCCCTCAAAATTTTCCTCGACCAGTGGACCAAACTATAGATTTAGAACAAGCGGGATCTTTCACACTAAGTCCTCCAGACGGTTCTGCAGGAGTGCAATTATTAGAAACAACAGTTAGAGATGGAAACAGAATAATACTTCAAGAAGGAGGTCAGCAGAACGAACAAGGAGGACAGGGACAAAATTTTGGACAACAAGGATTCCTGCCTAACCTTCAAGGAGGTGGACAGCAGGGTTTCCAACCTAATCTACAAGGACAACAAACATTTATTACCCGACCAGCTGGAGTATTTAATAGCCAAAATCAACAGGTACGAATTGTTCAGGCTGGGGGTGGATTCAGGAATCCGTTTCCAGGTATACAGCTTCCTGTTGCAACTCTTATGGCTCCAATCCCAAATACAAATCCATTTCTCAGCCCGCCTAATTCACCTTCAGGTCGATTAGTGAATAATATCATAGCAGGAATTCCAGGAAATCCTTTACCAACGGCTATACCTAGTAACCAAGTCAACATAGGGCAGCGATTACCTATGGGAAACATTCAGGGAAATCTTCCCATGTCTGGAAATCAGTTTCAAATGCAAGGAAATCAGGGGTTACAAGGAAATCAGTTTCAGCAAATTCAAGGAAACCAGTTTCAGCAAAATCAAGGAAACCAGTTTCAGCAAAATCAAGGAAACCAATTTCAACAAATTCATGGAAACCAACAATTTCAGAGAGCACTTCCAACGGGAATACCAAACACACAAGATGCAGTAAATTCTATAACTAGTTCTAATACTTTTGACGAGCGTTTTAATTTGATAGATCCAACTACTAATAATGCGGTTCAGGATGTGTCTAATCCCGGTGCGCAGAATCAACAAGGACAATTTCAAGCCAATCAAAATTTACAGCAGCCATCTCAAAATAGTATATTTCCACAACAGAATCAGTTTCAAAATCAAGGACAGGTTACAGGAAATATCAACAATCAATTTAGAGGAGGTTTACCTAATGTTGGGTTTCAAGCCCCTGGACAAAACTCACAGTTTAACCGATTTGATCCACCTCCTCCACAATTTATCGGCAATCAAAGACAATTTAACAATGTTCCAAGGTCTGAATTTGCTAATAATAATGATATTCGAAGCGCAAATACGCGTGCCATTTTACAAGCGAATGATTTCAACGTAACATTGACACATCCTATGGACCCTAGTGTTGGATTACTTTTAACAGATGTTTTATTAAATAATCTTCCTCAAAGGGCTAACACAATATTCAGAGATTTTGGCCAACAAGGTTTTACAGATATTTTTCCGGGTCAGTCTCAACCGACACCAATTCCCGATATTATGAATACACTGGCTCCAGGTTTAACTATGTCTACTCGATTTACAACAATGCCTCCACCTTCAACGACCACAGTTGCCGAATATAGCTGTCAACATAGGTAAGGTGCTAAAAATTAGAAACTAATTAAACTTCTTAAGAGCATCAAGTGACCAGTAAACAGACTTAATCATGAGAAGATAGTTATTTTGTAAGATATTTAACTTAAATATTTGGAATCGAGAAAATACATTTTTGTCTCCTTTTGTTATTTAGAGAGAAGGGGTTCTAATGCACCGTATTTGAATATCAAAATATAAACAATTTGTCAAGACTAAATCGCCCTTTTTACTAATCTTCATCAAAACGCTAGCACTCAATTGTTTTAAGTCAAATACACGTAAATTACACGGGAGCTATGTGAAATAAAGCGGCATTAAAAGAAGATCTAAAAATCTTTGCCTGGGGAATTTTAGACGATTACATGCATGGTCGACGGAAAGGTATAAATCAAATGTACAGGAAGAGTTACCTACTCTTGTTTCTTAAATTGTGCACAACTGAGTATGAACACGGAATCATCACATTTACTCTCAATGGAGACTGTAATATGATTGTTCTAAAGTTTTCACGAATTTACTGACCATAAATAAAACAATAGTGATGTATATTTAATTATTTTTTTGTAGATTTATAAACTTTACTTTATCAAATTACGATTTAGTGACATGAAACTAATTGCCTCCATCAATAAAAGAGGAGAAATGTCTTTATAAAAGAAAGTATATACAACCATATTTACTTTAACTGCTATATTATATTAATTATTATTGTGTTTTTGTCGAAGTTGCAACAAAGACAACTGACAACTGTGAACCAATACCGTTGAAAACGCAGTTCAGTATGAATGTTACCCAAAGATTTTGTTGAGTTACTGATGATTTAGAAATATAAGAACACTTCAATGTTGTAACACCATCTTATATGCATTTTTAGAAACGTGCAATGATGTGCTAACTTTAAAAAGATCTTTCGAAACAATTAATATAAAATGAACTTAAAAGCAAACAATTCTTTAAATTGAAAAACAAATGTACTAAAAGTGCATAACTTTCCCTTAAGGCATATGTGCAATTTTCTTTTTCGCCGGAAGTACTAATGACTGTAAAAAGATTCACATAACTCCATTGATTTGAAGCGACATTGCACATGCCATAAACACGACCACGTGAAAAGTTACTTTCCTTTATGACATATAGAAATCTATTTGGTGCAATGATACACGAGTTGAAATCGCATCCGTGTTCTTGTGGTGGCATACTTGTTTCAGTAGTCTTGTGCTGGCTTGTTAGCTAGCACGGCGGTCCAGCACAAAGCAGGGTATATTCAAATCTCATAACATTGTACCATGCAATCATCTTGAATATGCAAGTGATATAAGTATCTGGATGTTAAGCATTCATCAATCAATCAATTATACGATGTTTCAATTAATCTAGCTAATGAAATAGAAGCAAAATTCCTCCTAACTGAATAATTTTTCATTTCAGTAAATGTGGCAAAGGACAGGCTTGTGTCTATGATGAGAAATACAGATGTCCAAAATGGATTCCTTTATTACAGTGTAAATGTTTGGCAGGTAATAAAAGTATTTAGTAATTTATCATTTAATTGCAACAAATACCCTCATTGTATCAGACACATCCTACAAAAGTCAAGCGTCAAATCATATTTCAAATAAAACAAGTGATAATGAAACTGAATATATATATATAGATTCTACCACTGCATCGAGTGTGATACGATATTTATCCACTCGAGACAGTTAAATTTTCAAATTTAAAACGCGAGGCTCGCCGAGCGTTTTAAATATTTAAAATTTAACTGTCGAGAGTGGATAAATATCGTATTATACGAGATTTGGTGGTGGAATCTGTTTCTCTGATGATTTTCAAACAATACGCAGGCAAATTTATTCCTTCTTTTCGAATGATCTGCAAAAAGATGTGTTCTTTCTATGGGATGTCATCATGCATGGTCGCCTTTTTTCATGCCGTCACAATAGGAAATTCAGAGGAAAGCAAGAAAATTCGACGTCATAATCGGATTTTAACCAATGAAGAACTGAGATCAAACGAACCACACGTTGATTAAATTTTTTTTATACAATGGGTGCAGAAAGGGATAAATTGACGAAGAATTAGAGAAATAATATATATATAATATATATATAATTCGTCTAAATAACAGCCCAACAATGTTAAACTTAATTAAACCATTGTGGTGACGTCAGCCTATTCATTTACCGTGGATTCTTTTTCTAGAATCAACGCTTCCTAAATCAGCCGCTGAAATTGACTCACCAAATTATATTCAATTGTTTCCTTTGTGTGCCTCATTGCATTAAGTTTGAATTGGCTAATTTACTGATTTCTGTTCACGTATGGAATTAATTTAAAAACTTACCTTTAATTTTTGTATTTTTTATATGCCTTCACTGGGAATTCTTGAAATCTGTTATATGTGACTGACATGAACACATCGACAAAACCTCTCGGCTACCAATGGGTTACACTATAGATGTCTATTTTATATATTTAAATGAACATCTGATATACATCGGTTCATCGGACACACATGGCTTGTACCTTTATATAGACAAAATAGGCAATCGTATAGTATGAGTTGGTAGCCGCGAGGTTAGCATGGTTAAAATCAATGAGTTAAAGATAGGGATTTGTCGGTTTAGGTTCGAATCCCTGTATTCTCTCTGTTGTTCCAATTCTTAAGTTATCCTGTTTTTTTTTTCTAAATTTGCATGTCATAGTGGATATTTTTGTAATAATAGCGAGTTTTACCTGTTTTTTTTTATATTATTATTGGTTATTTCACATGTTTGAAACAAAAATTATAACATTCTATTTGTCAATTTTTGTTTTATAAATAAAGTTTGATTTCATCTGTTTTACTACATAATATTACAAAGGTTTGTTCGCAAATTCCTATGCGAGAAAATCGTGATGTGCCTAGCGTGCTAGAAAAATTTCGATAACATACTTATTATATATACTTTATATATGCTTTTTAGTCGGGTTGTTGTCTCTTTGACACGTTCCTCATTTCCATTTTCAATTTTATTAGAAATAATTTCGAATATGTCTTATTTTGTATAAACAGATAATATTCATATGCCTGGTAATATAAAGATCTGTAAAGGTAGAAGTGTTATATTTGTATTTTGTTAACCAATTTATTGTGATCTGAGATTTATCAATGCATCGTTAGACACGATAACATGGTTATTTAAACTCACTTACAATACCTTCTAATTAAGAAAAGGCTTTAATTTTGAAAAGAAATGAACACAATAGTTTAAGTTATAGATACAATGGATAAGCGTAGATTCATGAAAAACAAACCATTCGCCCTCCGGGCTCATGGTTTCTTTTTCAAGAATCCACGCTTATCCATTGTATCTATATAACAGAATCGATAGTACAATTATATTTTCTTTGTCATTAAGTAATATTCATTGTTAATATGTTTTGCAATTGATATAATATATATTGAATTTGAGTGTGTCGCAAAACAAGAGTTATTTACGAAAAGTTTCACAAAAGTGCACATTTCTTTCGGAGAACAGGAAACGGTCCGACCGATCATGATTTGAGAACATATAAAATACGGCATAAGAGGAATATGCATGTAAATTTATAATGTGTAAGAAAGTTAATTTGTTGTATACAATTTTATCAGTATTATGTAAATTTTGTGTTATTCCCTGGAGTCTATTGTCCACTTTCGTACCAAAGAAACGCCTTATATTACTTCCCAAAGACTGAGGTAAATGATGATAACATTTTTTAAAGTGGTTGTTAAAAACTATTACTTTTTGTTCCGGTTAGAACAAACCACCAAACTGAATACTTATATCACGGTTTGCTGTCATCCAGTTTTATATTGAATCGATAACAGTTACTTTAGGATCTACGCCAAGCTCGTTCAGAGTGGTTGGTATTGGGGTTTGAAACGGTTGCATCTTATTTACTTATTTTGATTACATTTTGTAATTTTATCTTTTCAACATGTATATATCTACTCACAACTAAAGATATTGTCTCAAATGATTATGTGAAGCGTAGTACAGCCATATTAAAATTTAGAATGGAAATTAAAAAAAGAAATGACTACTAGTAATTAAATTCTTACGTATAAATGTTTCCCAGAAATAGCATTACTAGTATAAACACTGGCTTGCTCAACATCGTTCCGCGTAAAAACTGGGAAAATAATAATTGGAGCAAAAGAAGAGTCCCATGCATCACGCGAAAAAAAAAAGAGTGTTTCTCTTAGGACTATTTTTTCTCTGCGATCAAAATATTACATCATTAGAAGCCGTTAACCTAAAGGAAAAGTTAATGGCCATGGGTAGCTTAAAATACTTTTAATAAATACGGTCATCAGAATCTCAAACTGACAGTTTAATTGTTCTTTCAACAGACCACAACATTTGACCTGACAGTTCATACTCCCATTTTTGTATAGGAGTTTGACGAAACATATTAATCAAACTTAACTGGTCTAAATGAAATAGTAACTGACTAGTTTCGTTAGTACTTCTTAAAATGTACTTTAAGCCTTATTCCAAGTTATTACCAATTTTTTTGCCGTCGTTATTAGTAAATAAGTAGCAATTGAAAATTAGATAGCAAAGTATACTGATGTTCCGTAAAACGGAGCCTTTTTTACTTAACAACTAAGCTTGTGATAACGATTCGTTCATTAGCTGATAATCTTTCAAATTGGTTAACTTGTAGTTAGAAGCTGTTTGTTGCTGTCGTGATTTCGTTAATTTGTTGTAAAAAAGCTGTCCATACTATAAAATACATGTATAAGTACGAAGCTAGGACCAGTCGAAATGGGGACATTAATTCTGAAGCTTCCTTTTAAAAGAGTGACACACTCTTTGCACGTAAAAGATCTTTAAGTTATCACTAGCTGACATATATATAACAAGGTAAAATTTCGGGACAGCCTGATATTCCGACACCCCATTAGTCCGACACCCCATTGATCCGACACCCCAATAGTCCGACGCCCTATTAGTCCGACACCCCATTGGTCCGACGCCCCAATAGACCGACACTGAATAATTAAAAAAAAATTATATCTCTTTTATATTTGAAAGCATGATGACATGTTCATTTAATACTAAAACTGCATTTAGAAAAGAAGGCCTTGTCCATCAACTGATCAAGAACAGTAAATGCAACCTATCAAGTTAGATTGATAGTCACCGTTGTATTAGTGAAAACAGTAGGATATATTCACTCAAACAAAACATAGATTGATAGAGGAGCGGGCCTCATGTTTTACGTAACTGAAAAGGAGTATCAATTTCTTAACTATAGTGAACATTTTGTCAAATTATGTTTTGTTGAACTACTTACATGTAGATACTAAACTTCGTTTCTATTCCAAAGCAGAGAACTAAGAAAGTTTAGGCTCTAATGAGGCTATACTGCTTACATGATTGTGTGTGTGATGCTAGCTTCATTGTACAGGATGGACAAATGTTTCTTGTTAAATGCTAATAGTGCTTAACTTGAACACATGAAGCACCCTTTTCTATATTAATAGACTTTTTGACAGCTAAAATGAAACCTTAATGTCAATTTTTTTTTAGAAGAACGTCAGTTTGATTTATCTTTATGCACCAATGTTTTAACTTGAAGAGAGAGATTTAATTAAAATTAATGCCTTGAACTCTTTAAGACAGTGAAAAAAATGGTAAAAAAGTATGCACTGGCGGATGGATACAAGGACGGACAGACGGACGGACGCCCGGTGTTTCTGTGACCCTGCAACGCGTCGCGTAGGGGTCAATAAAACTGGGTATCCACACTAAGAAACAAAAAGTGTGGATAGTAAAATGCGGGTTTGTCTCAAAGTTGGTAAAATCACTCGAAACTAGGTGAGACATGCGCAGTTGTGATAGATATGTTGTATAAATATAGAAAATTGAATATTTTAATCAACAACAAAAAATTAAAAAAAAATAATTCTGTATCATAAACCCAAGCGCCTGTGATTGTGATGGCTGTGTGCGAAAGTGGCAGGAAAACTCGTCTTTATTACACATTATACAAAGCACTAGCGTCGCACACAAATAATTTACTAGCGATTATGTGACAGTGAAATATACTATATATACTTTGTATAATTTTGCCATTTTACTATTTCACATTTCATTTATTGTCATTTCATAGCTGGGTTAACTGTTAAAAGGAAATGTTTTTATCATGTAAAGTCATGCTTTATTGGAATACATTTATTTAACAATCAATAAGTATGTTTATAAATGAAGAAACTTTAAGAGACGTTAGTTTAACAACGTATCCATATAAATTATTTTGAGCCAGTTTACAAGACTTAATTCAAAACAAAATTGCGAGGCATAATTTGTTAAGGCAAATGTTGTTATTACAAAGGATATTTTAAAGCGTTTGAACACCATATATATTTTACAGGATGTATGTATAACGACTGGTTCATACGTAAAAATTTTGTGATACCAGTTGACAGATGTGGCAATCACTGTGCTTGCGAAAGAGATGATGGCGTGGTAAGTCAACTCAATGTATTCCATATTTTCCTGAAGTACTTGTTAAAAATATGACTCATGTTAACTGACAACCTTTTGGGTACTTTCTGTAGACGCCGCGGATCTCGGACGGCAGTTACCAAAACGCTATATCTAAAATACCTGGATTTCATACATGGACTAATAGTTTACATAAACATGAAGAAGCAAAAAGAGAATAAACCTTAATTGTTTTACTGAAATCGTAGGAGAAAAATAAAATACTGGTAATGAAAAGAGAAATTAAGTAACAAAGGCAAATGTAAAAAAATATAACAAGAACAAATAACAAGGTACCCTTCTAAATGGGCGGAAAATGTCAATGAGACAAACAAAGGAAATTTGATGGGTAAATATCACGTGGTAGATGTTAAAAGATATACACAAGATAGTAATCTTCTTTTTCAGGCAACTTGTACGAAGATAAAATGCCCGAACGCTGCCTGATTACGTTATTAACAATCGACAAAGTTGATCGGGGACAAAGAAATTAGCGTTTCGTTTGTTTTTTCAACGAAAAACCTCAACATCTGCAGAGTGAATGCAGGCAGAAGAAAACCAAATAAATATGTCTTTCATCATTGGATTACAGCTGTTTGTTTCTTTGAAGATTTTGTGGGAATGTTATAACCAATTCATTATTTTGTCATTATAATTCATTCAACTGTCGTTTTAAGACATTCATTTGAAACTTTGTACATATGATATCTATAAATAAAACTGTATATTTTCCTACAGTCTGTATACATCAACATGATCAATGTTTTTGCTGTTGAAAAGTCAGTCGTTCTTAGTTTATTGTTATGAAGTTACGAAGAAAATAGGTTTTAAAATATGCAGTTTCCTCGCAAAAATCTTTTTTCTAAAAAAATACGTATTTTAAAAAAGGTAAACAAAATAATGTGTTTTAATTTAATCAGCAAATTAATTTTCGGAATAATATTTAAACGTTTTATTTTGTGTTCACTTAAAACCAAATTATTAATGCATAATCCCAGATTGATATTATTACTTGCCTTTCATATCTGAATAACTTCATTACATAGACTTTTCATACGATTCCGTAATTTTAACTGACTGAGTCATCCCCCCAAAAATATAAATATTTTTTTCGAATGAATTGCAACATTTAAAGACTGCACGTGCTAACCGTGACTACGTTAAGGTGGCAGGTACCAGTACCTAGGACATGTGTCCCACGCAGGAGAATTTTTTTTATAGTTAAGCAATAAGGTATATAATTGCATCATGTGGACTGAAAAAACAAATGAATGTAAATTCTAGGCTATTGTACTACATTAGTAAGTAGTGGCATACACAGGTTTGGGATTTTTTCACATATGGGACCAATCAGAAGTCAAAATTTGGGTCTCCTCTCTTGACGGCATCCAATCAAAATGGGGGGAAAATTCAGTTTTATGTAGAGATTTTGATGGTAAGGATAGGTGCGGACAAGGCTCTAATTCATTGAATATCATTTATCTCTTGAAATTTGCTTAAAATTCTTGTCTGACATAGCAGGATTCTGAAGGTGAGTATTAGATTTGTATCAGAGCATCACATTTTTTGCCTCATTTGCAATGCATTTATAAATTTTAAAACCTCCATGCTGGACAGACACCCAAATTTACAGGTTTTCTATAGATCTATATTCACATAAGTACGCACACATCTTAGTTACTCGAAACCATAAATGTTATTTGCATATAAGCTTGAATGATTTTTCAGGAAAAATAAATCATAAATTAATGAAATTCTAAAGATTTATTGTAAAATAACAGGTTTCTGCCACCTAAATCAATGGATAACAAAACAAATGAAAAGGATTGAATTAACTGGTAATTTATGGTTGTAGCAATAGAATTGAATGCTTCTTTTTGTAATTTTATAGAGTTGTAAAAGTGTTTGACGTTCACACTTCATACAAACTGTGTTATGGTCAATGCTTTTAAACCTCATTTAAATTGCAGAAAGAAGCAATTCAATTCTTAAATAGAACATTAAAAGCCAGGGTATATAAATATTGCTCCCACCTAATTGTCCGATTTTTTCGACATCATAGTCATCTTAAATGAATCGCCCTATGTGTTCATATACGAGTATGTGTCGAATATATCTTAATCTTTCAAGTATATATATACTCTATATGAATGGTTGGTTGGCCATTTTCTCGACGTGATTAAGAAAGAGAGGCAAAAGATAACACAGGGACTTGCAAAGTAGAAAATAAACTGACAACGCTATGGCTAAAAACGAAAAAGACCAAAAGACAAACAACAGTATACGAAAACACAACATAGAAAACTAAAGACTGAGCAACACGAACCCCACCAAAACCGATTTTTTACTTGCGGTGTATTCAACTTATCATGATGATGACTGATGAGCCGATTTTTACATGAGAAAAGCGAAGGGTGTCACGAATGAAGGACGGACTGCTTAATTTCTAATGTTAGTTCGTTTTATTTTTGTGTTGACTTGTGTTAAGGTTGTTCCGTCTTTTGTTTCCAGTGTAAAGACAAATGTTTGTCTTTAAATTTCTACTTAAACTTGCCATTTCTGATATTCTGTTGACCTTTTAAGTTGTCTCTTTATTTGTAAAAAAAACCAGATGATTTATTTAATACACGCAACTGTTAAAAAACTGTCACTACTGTTTGCACAGTTTTTATATGCTACAAAAAAAAAACCCCAAAAAAAATAAAAAATTACATTTTTTTTTTCATTTCGGTAGTTTTGAGTTTCATCGTAATAGTTCCTTATGTCACAACTACAGATTTGCATAACTTGTTTTTGTTTTTCCTATTTTTTCATTATAAAAAGTCATTCTTTCGTAACTTGTTCTAGCGAGTCCACATAAATCCACAGAATCCAAATATATCCATAAATAGCAAAAAAAAAATGCAAAAAGAGGATTTTTACCATATATATATATATATATCAACTTATTGAATCACATAAGCTTCACATCAAGCAGATAAACAAATTTAAACGTGATGGTGTGCAAGTTAACCACCCTTTAAACAGACCTTCAAAAAATTCAACTAAAAAGCCTCGCAACCGTAGATTTCGAAGAAAAAGTAAAATCCGGTCAATACCAATAACACGGTTGTTAATTTGTCAACAGTCTCTCTAACTGAGGATGAAATAAAAGTTTTATCTTAGGGTTTGAATTTTTTGCCCTTCTCCCAGTATCATAGATAATATGAAACTGGAAGATGACCTCAATAACTTTGCCAGAACCCTCAGAATTAAAGAATACTTTGGTAACAAGGATAATGAGGGAGACTCAGACACGTCTGAATCTGAGGAAGAAATCAGAATTCCGCATTTTAAAAAGAAGAGTTCATGGATTTCAAAACCAAGCAAATCTGCTACACTGGAAGATGTTACCGACAAAATCAATTCGGATGTTGTTCATCTAGCTAGCAACAAGTACTTACTGTGTTGAAGACCCATTTGTGGCCTTGGGCTGTTTACTGCTCTTTGGTTGGGTTGTTGTCTCTTTGACACATTCCCCGTTTAGATTCTCAATTTTATCTTCATTAGTCATTAACCATAACATCTTTTAATTCAGATCACTGATGAATGGCATTCTACAGTTTTTAAGAACAGAGGCTGAGCAGTCTAATAAAAAATGCTTTTCATCTTCTACTGTTTCCTTACATCAGTTACGTTTTCTGTCTATAATTAATAAATTTAGGTATCTACCCCTTTCTATATTCAGGTTATGATCACTAAGTCTAAATTTGGCAAATAATTTTCTTTGCTCCTCTGAACCTATGTTTAAGTTAGGTTCTATATACATATTTAAATTTTCTGTATGTTCTTAACATATTTCCAACTTTGACTCTTGTTTTATTATCATTAGTTAGTTCTTTATGCCAAAGATTTATACATTTTGTTTTTAATCATTTTACTAAATATTAACCTATAGCTGTGCAATGGAACCTATGGGAATGCAACCCGAGTATAAATCTCAATAACCGAAAATTAACCTATAGCTGTGCAATGGAACCTATGGGAATGCAACCCGAGTATAAATCTCAATAACCGAAAATTATACCATAGATATCTATGGTATAATTTTCACAATAACCATGGTTTTGTTGTATAGGGTCTTCGAGAAAAAGAAAGATAGCAAGACCTGGCTGCCTGAATTTTTTGACATTTGAACAACAGAGTCAGTGCGGGGCCACTAAGCTAAACTGCCCGCTTTGCGCCAGCCGATATAAATGAATGCCTAGGGTGGGAATCGAACCCACGTACAGCAACTCTGTTGTCCTATATTTTTAAATGAAAAAAAATCGCTCCTCGAACAAATAAACAAATAAAGTTTAAAAAGTATATAAATGTGTATATATTATGCTGGAAAATATAAGTTGATTTTTGGTTATTGAGATTTATACTTGGATTGTATTCCATAGGCTTCACTGTACAGCTACTTGTATAGGTTTGAATTTGCCGAGGCAGCTTTTTGTGGGGAGGGCAGGGAGCAAGCCCATTTTAAGGAGCTTCATATTTGGTAAATGCATAGACTTTTTCATTGTATTACTCCAAATATTGGCTTGCTATATCCCCCTTTCAGAATCCTGGACCCGCACCCGATTTGTTATACATTGCTGACATCTAGACTTTAACGAGGTTGCTCAAGTAATAACAATAATGTTGAAATGTTAAAATTAGATAGCGTCTGGTTTTTCTAAATGAAGCTTACTTTTTGTGTAAATTATTGCTAGTCAACATGTGATTTTAATCATGAACTTTTGAAATCCCTTTTAATCAATGTACGACTTGAGCTTCAGTACAAATTAAAATGTGGAATGATTCATCCAAACTCTCAAAAAGTTTCTTGTGAAATTAATTTCCTCAGAATTATAAATGAATATTAAAAAATTGAAACATTCTAACATTTTGATAAAATAAAAAAAACTAACCCTTTGCAGTTCAACTTTTAATCTGTTTCAGAAGCCCGTGCTTATTTTAAAAAGTAGGCGGACCTTTATGCGTAAGGCCCGAAAAGGGTTATTTAACTGATTCTTATCAAAACTATTTTTTAAAGTAAACCAACAAAAATATATGAAATATACAATTTTAAACAGCAAAAGATGCGATAGGTTAAAACAGATATTCCATATTTTTTGGATAGTTTTGCGGCATTTCGTAAATTATACCATAGTTTTTTGTTGAAACCTCTCGGCAACCTCACTCGACTTCGTCTCGTGAGGTTATTGCCGGGGGTTTCAACAAAAGCTATGGTATAATTTACGAAACACCGCAAAACTATCCAAAAGATATGAAATATCTATAACTTAACTATTATAACTCTGTTTATGTTTTGATATATTTATATATAAGTGTTCAACATTCAAAAATTCAAACATCTTGTGAATACAATTAACCCATGATTCTTGCTTGGCAGTTATGTCGACATAGCTACTGGTTCTTTAAATGTCCTGTAGTCTCATTTCTTGAAGGTTTTGGTCCAACATCTAATGCAAATTGACAGAATTTAAGATGAATGGTCTCTTGTTTTGAATTTTCCAATTTTTTTATTACAAATTTTTCAGGGTCATTTATAAATTTCGGTACTTGGAGTTCTCCCCATATTTCAGATCCAAAGAGCAATACTGGTTTTACTGTGGAATTAAATATGTGTATTAATTGAGAGATTTTTTGTTTTAATGGAATAAAAGCTTTTAGGCATCAAATTTGGCATAGATTGGTGTATATTTTGCTATTTTCAACGTTATACCA